CTGACAGGTGTTAACCAGCCACAAAATGCCCATTGGCCAGTAGGTAAATTGGTGATGCTATCGCTGCCAACCGTCAGGATGTTCCCTATCACCTTGGCTTACCTCTTTTCTATGTAGGCGGGAACACTTCTAAGCCAAGCTCTGCACTGCAGCCACCCACCTTTTTTTGTTCAGAATGCTTCTGGGACCAACAAGGGGCTCGGAGAAATTCTGGAAAATAAAAATGAGGTGAGTGCTTGCCTTTGTAGTTCCCGTTTATTATTATTTTTAATTAAAATGCTCTAAAACAAACAGGGAGGGCAGAGAGGCTGGTGGGTGGCAAGGGAGGTGGGGACCTAGGGTTGATATGTTGTACCACTAGATTTTTATTTCCCATGAACCACAGGTTGGAATGTAACAGCACACAACACTCAGCACTGTGGAAAACAGAGGCAAGTTCTATATTATGCCCACTAAACTAGATATGTGAAAGAGCGCAGGGACTTTGTTTCAACCAGACTTGACTTTCCATTGGGGTGGGACTGATGATCATTGAGCAGATTGGGGATGCCCTTTGAACGTTGCAAACCTAAGCACTAACAGTAGGGGCTGATCCTTATTCTCACACAGAGCATTGTTGTCAGACTTAGCTAGCATACCTGCAGTTTCACTCAGCTGACAGTCTCCCTGTATTGTAGGTATACTCTATGTTTAGGATGATAGCCTTAGTCTACCACCACAAGTAAATTATTCCCCCATACCATAATATCCCCTAACCTGTCTGCGTAACCTACAGTGCTGTTGCTTCCCCTCCAGCCCCCTCTCCCACCTTGGCTGTCGGGCTCCATTCAACCCTGCTCCCATCACGCAGCTTTCCAACCTCCTGAGTCACTGGCTGCGCTATTGACACAGACAGCAGGGCAAGCTGCCAAGCAGCCAGCAAAAGGACTGGCCTGACGCAGCCAAACTTCCTTCAGCCCTCCTAGCAACAAAGCTTGAAACCCTTCACCTGCGAAGCAGCAAAATAAATAAATTAATAACAACAGAAACCCAAACCTAGACATTAATTCCTCCCCCCCCCCAATTTAGAAAAGGGATCTCAGCTCCTGTCCTTGAGAGTTAATACTTTCCAAAGCTCTGCCTCTTTACAGAATCTGTTTCCTTGTGATATGAGAGAGAGAGAAAGATGTCAGGAGGGAGCGCAAACACTGGAGAATTGTGTTGTCTTTGTAAATCTCTATTTATATAAGCAGAATATAAAGCAGGTGGGACAGCAGCTAAATTGCATCAGATTTCAGAGAGGAATGCTTATAAATTGACCACACACATGCCTCCAACCTCCAGATCTTGCCAGTTCTACCTGCAGCTCTCAGTTGTAGCCAACTATTTTGAGCCTCTGCCTAAAATCAAACTGTTTGTTATTGGCACGTATTATATGCCACCAAGCAAATCTGACTTTAGATCTCACTCTACAGGCAGATAATTAATGAATGGAATGTTATATTTGGGGTACCAGGCTGACAGAGTTTCCTAGCTGTTAAAAATAGGTTTAAAAAGCTTTGGATTACTTAAGTGGCTTTCTGTGCAATTCAGTTGCTTTGTAATTTTAAAAAAATAGTAAGACTCCAATCTGAGATTTGTGTAAACTGCCCAGAAAAGCATTTCTTCAGAGGAACATGACAAAAATCTACTATAAAATAAATAAAAATAACCTTCATGAGAATATTAGAAGATACCTGCTGAAATGAAATCTGATTCACAACCCTGCTCCCCAAAAGCCTAGATGCAAGTTCTTGCTGTCCTCCAGCAACTGGTCATCAATGATATACTACGACTGAACACAGACCAGTGTTAAAGCAATAATAGCATGTCACCTAGTACAGAGCACTCTTTTATTTGTTTTTTCTTAATCCACATAATTGTTAATGTGTTAATAATTAACATAATTTTGCTAACAAACCAAGATGGTTGAGGACACTCTGTAAATTAAAATGCCATCATCATTTTGACCAGCTAAAAAGTCTAACCCAGGAACCCTCGCTATGGTAGTGTTGACAGAACTCAGTTGCAAAACTAGAAAAGTTTACTGAGTAACATAATTCAGTTTATCATGGGTAGGAGCATCTCCAAAAACAACTTGTTTTCTGATTAATTTTATCAGGGTACTGCTTTCTGGACAACAGCAGCAACCTGCATTCTCCTCTGTCTCCTAAATCTACCACTAAGCCACTCAACTCCATTCACCAAATAACTACAAACTTTAGTATTTTGAAGGAGAAAGAAGAAAAATTTCTAACTGCACTATGTATGTTATACATCTCCCATTACTCCATTACTCCATCTGCCCTCATCAACACTGCTCTAAAAAATATCTATTCAGTCCTATGGTTTTCAAGCAGGCCTACTCCCATATATGTGGAAATGGATTAGGGGTTCACTATCTTTTTTTCTTAAATAGAAACCCAGAATTGTTTAGTCTTTTCTCAGAGGTAAAACAGTCCAACCACCTGTTTATTTTCCAGTCCTACAAGGTCCTGTAAGATGGAGTAATCAGAATTATTACTATTAGTAATCAGTGATTAGTAGTCTTATCCACATGTCATACTAAAACATCACACAGTTTGTTTGATTTTACTTAGGAGAGTACACAATGTCAGTTCTTATGATTTCTAAGCCAAAACGTACAGCTTAACATATTAGGCAAATTTAGCAAATTGTAGCTTATTTAACATACTCCAGTTAAGCAAACTGATAGGTGAACTCAGCTTTTGTTGTATTTAAACCACAGTTTATCATTACACTGTCTCAATAAATTACAATTTATTCAATAAACTATGGTTGAGCAAACTGGCTTAACTCTATGTATGATTTCAGCAGTGTTTCAAGTATGGCCACACACTAATTAGGCTTTGCTAGCACAATGAAATGACATTGAACATACTGAAGTGGTAGATAGCTTCTGTGTTTTAGGATCGACTATCAACAGTAAAGGAACAAGCAGTCAAAAAATACACTGCAAAATAGCATTTGGTAGAGCAGCCGTGAAGGCCTTGGGAAAAATATTCAATTACTGTGATGTGTCTCTACCTACAAAGATAAGAATAGTGCGAGCAATGGTACTCCCTGTGAAACTCCATGGAAATACAAGTTGAGACTTTGAAGAAGCAGGATAGGAAGAATATGTATGCTTTTGAACGTTGGTGTTGGAGTAGGCTCCTGAGAACACTATGGATAGCCAAGAAAATAATTAAATGGATCATCAGATGAATCAATCCAGAGTTCTCACTCAAGGAACAAATGACTAGGCTCAAATTATCCTACTTCGGGGACATTATACGAAGATCTAGCTCTCTGGAGAAGGCTCTGATGCTGGGAAAGGTGGAAGGAAAGAGAAGAGGATGACCAGCAGTTAGAGTGGTGATGGGTAGCACCATTAAAAGACCTGAAAGAGCAGGTTAGGGACAGATCAGCATGGAGAAAAGCTAGCTATGTGGTTTGTAAGAGCTGACATCAACTTGACAGCATGTAATCAATCAATCCGCACATTGAGAGCCAATATGGTCTAGTAGTTAAGATGCTGGATTAAAAACTGATTATGTGCCATCAAGTCATTGTCAACTCTTAGCAACCACATAGATATTCTCCATGCTGATCTGCCCCTAATCTGATCCTCCAGCTCTTCCAACGGTGCACTCGTGGCTACTGTAACTGAGTCCATCCACGTTGCTGCTGGTCATCCTCTCGTTCCTTCCACTTTTTAAAACCTGGAAGAACATAAATGTTGAACCTGCCATAGGCATGGAAGCTGGCCGGATGATTGGGGGCCAGTCACTTTCTCAGCCCTTGGAAAAAGGTCCTGATAAGCCATTTCAGAAACCACCACCAAGAAAACTGCCGTCTTGTCCCCGTGGTCAACAGGAGCCAAGATTGACTCGATGGACCATAACTATATAACAGGATTAGTATTAATGTACAACAATAATTGTACATTGGCCTGGGGTGGAGAGGGAATAACTCAAGCATGGGGATGGCTAGCCCCATAGAGGCTTCCTGTCTTCAGCCCCAGATTTTTCATTTTCTTGGACTCTCCTTTCCCTTTTTTAG